AAAAAAAAAAGAAAAAAAATTTTTTGAAATCCCTTTTTTTTTTTTTTTTTTTGCTGAAGAAGAGAGGATGTTGCAGTGGTAGCTCAGGTAAGGGAAAGAAAAGTTGCAGGAGAGCACAAATACTTACAGGAATTGTGCCTACGACGGAAGCCTTTGGATTGAGGCAATGTTTCTACATGTCGATCCATGTAGCTCTTGGAGCACTGCTGCTGTGGAGAGACAATAACATCCTGATTCTTCACGTCTGTTCTCCTTGGAATATTCTGCGGGGCACTGCTGGAGATGGGCTTCTTGAGGACTTTTCCAGTGCCATTCTGGCTGGGACCCACTTGGCATCCAACTCCAGGGATGCCCATGTCCGTCTGCTGCAGATCCCCACATTGTCTATTGTCCCCTGGCCCTGGGATCTCCAGGATTTTTAGTTCAGTAATGTCACCTGCCCTAAAAACAGGAAAAGAGAATGAGATATACTGTAATTTAACATTTGGGCTGCTTTTATTAAAAAAAAAAATCATACCCAAGAAGAAGACATGCAATATTCTATAATATATTTTCTGATGCCCATATCAACAAAACAAGGGAAGAAAGTAGATTTTAGTACACAAACTTACAGGACACATCCCTCAGACATCGAAATATTTGGCTGAAGTTATTCTGAATCTTTAGAATAAGACCCCAAATATTTCTACACTGGACCTGAATTTTGCTCAGCATATTGTTCCTAGCACAAATTTTTGCAAGAATCTGTCTTTATATAGCAGTTTCTTTCTAGACAAGAAAATTAATCTCAGCCTTCAGGCTATTGCTTCTTGTAACCTGTTTCTTTAAAAAAACATCCTTAAATTGATGCAATTCAGGCTCAGTCAAGGATGGCACTTTCAATTTCCTCTGAAGGGAAAACTAAAGCAGTCCTGGTTATGAGACAAAATGAAACGAAGACCTCCTCTTGCAAGGACTGTGAGGAATAAATTGGAAATTATGGCCTTCTCTTTTAGGCTTCATAAGCACTTGCTCAAATGGAATAGAAAGTTAGTAGCATTAAAAGTAGCAAGGAGTTGCCACACATTTCCTGGAAGAATGTCCTTCTTCCTCCCCCATGCTCTCTTCAAATCCCAGTTCAAGGAAAAAGTGATATCCTGAAATCTATATTCAATTTATTTAAAATACAGAATAATTAGGTCCCTGAGTCACTATAACATACAAGTTGCTCAGGTAACAGGAAAATAGCCTGTGACTAATCTCTCTTATCTATTCTCTTGAGCACAACATTAGCAGGAGCTGGCGGGAGGAAACTCGGAGAGCCACAGTGCTGTTACATGGAATTCATGTCCTTAGTTCCAAACTTTTTTAACACTCTCTGCACTCACTACTAGCACCATCCTTACACAATGAGATTGCCCAACCAATGAAAACAGTTTTTGGTAGACAGAAGTGCTGCCTACATGGTGAAGAGAGTGTGCTAAAAGATTGCATTTAATTAAGCTTAATTGCATTTGGGCCAAAAAACATTGATTGATTGACCACTCTGCCTTCTTTTCCACCACACTTTGAGAATACACACTGAGGAAAAACCTTGGAGGGAATATGCCAACCTCTCAAGCAACTGAAAACCAAACAGGGAGCACTCCATGTATGCGATACATACATACCCACATGCGTAGCTGCAGCCACAAACACCCCCCAGCCATGAGCTACACCAATTCTAACACAGCTCTGTGCTCACAAACGCATGAGCAGATGAGAGACATTTGTCATTCAGAGACGCTTAGTAGCGACAAAAAGAATTAGGGCAAAGAGCCCAGTTTTAGGGGGAGAGTGGGAAAAAATAAAATAAAATGGAAATAAACAGGCTTTGTCTGGAAAATACAGGAAGAAAATAAATAAATAGACACTGACCTGAAGGTGACTTCTGGCACGAGGCACTTCATTCCATTGTGGAAGGGCCGTGTCAGGGAGATGGTCTGGCTGACCTGGTCCACGGCGGACACTCGCCCTTGGTAGACTCCCAAGCTTTCTCCACAGTTAATCGACACGATGCTTCCCAGCCAGTCCGTAGCCATGGCTGTGGCCCACGATTGCTGCAAGGCAAAGAGAAACAGGTCTGGATGTAAAAAACACAGGCGCTGACAACCTGGAGCAACGTCCAGGGTGGTCCCAACCCCGGCCCCCACCCCGGCTTCGGCTCCATCAGCCTCTCTCAGCTTTGGAAGGTGGAAACAACATCTCTAGAACACAGCAAATGTGTAAATCCCTGGACAGCGCGTCGCCTATACGTTTCTTTGCAACATAGAGGTACAGCAACACAAATCATAGCTAATGCTTGCATCAGCCAGGCCAAATTCTTATAATGCTCACTTTTCCAAAAACAGACAAAATAATTTTTTAATTGATTTCAAAACTAAACATTTCCGAAGTTATTTGCTTAAATACCAAGACAAGTATTTAGCTGTTTCTCCATAAATGCTCCCAGCAGCTTCAAGCAGCTACTTTATCTTCCTTCCCATTTTAAAGCCTAGGCCTACAAATTCAAACATTTCTGAAGTTATTTGCTTAAATATCAAGACAAGTATTTAGCTGTTTCTCCGTAAATGCTCCCAGCAGCTTCAAGCTTCAAGCAGCTACTTTATCTTCCTTCCCATTTTAAAGCCTAGGCCTACAAATGCTCAGGAAAATGAATGTCCTGACCGAGAGTCCATAGCAAAAGTCTCCAGCACCTCCAGGCCCAGGGCTGTCACTATTACTGCCACAACCAAATAACTGAGAATAAATAAATTATGCTGCTTTCCAGCAATTACATTTAGTTTTACAAGGATACATGAGAAAAAAAGACACACGCTAAATGTCTCCCTAATGAATAACGAGCTGTGCAGCTGGATGCTCACTGCCCTGCTTGGACGCTCGATCTCTTGAGGTTTTAATGGCTGGCTGGAATCGTATCTCAGCCCAGACACTTTGGGGAAGCTAAGACCACCTTCTGACCTAGAATTGTGTCACCCGCACGAGGCAGATGAGAGGGTGAGGAGCTCCCTAGGATTTCAGGGCACGAAAGAGCCAAAAAGCTCACGGAGCAAAACGCCCACTGCATGCACAGGTCTGTAGCCAACGGCGAGAGGAGGCTCTAACCGCGGCAGAAGCACCTTCGTTACTTTTATT